GCCGCCGTTCCACCATAGTTCCACAGAGTTGGATTGCCTGCTTCTTTCTCCTTACAAGCCAACACCCAGAACTCTTGTTCGTTTGTGATTTTGTGGTGTAGGACGTAGTCGGAAAATTCGGAGAAATCGAGCACTCTCCTTCTTTTTCTCCATCGGTCCTGATGTGTACCATCGCCATTGTTGCTTTCTTCCTTCCATTGCATCCTATTTTCTTCCGCTCTTTTTTTCAAGTAGTCCTCTTCGGTGAGCTGCATCTTCTTCAGCATGTCTTCTTTTGTCATTCTTGTCGGCCAGAATAATGGAGTCGGGTCTAAATGTACGGGTAGCTTCACAGCAGAGTCTGTGAGCACGTACTTTGCCATTTGGTACCAGCCTTTCCTCGGGTACGACATGTGTCCATGTAGCCCGTAGTGTTGAGCGAGTGTGTTGGACACCCCTTTGTGGGCAAAGTTTGCAGACATCTTGAAACAAACGTGGTAGTGCATTTCGTGTGCACTGCCATCCGGCATAAGCTTCTTGTGTGGTTCGTAAACCACTATCATCTGCCTCAATTTCCCCATCAGCTGGCACTTGTTCAAAGCATCCAAAAAGTTTTTTTCGAGCTCCTCTCTGCTGATGTCTCTTGGAATCAGCTCATTTTTCTTCTTTCTTTCTTCATAAGTTTTCAAATACGATCTCGGTGTGGGGAAGGTCCACATCATGATCCATGATCTGTGTTCCGTTTTCAGAGCCTTTTCTTCCTCATTTTCAGAGGAATCGTATTGACAAAGGACATATGAAGAATCATCCTTTTGTTGAGCAGCTTGCTCTTCATTCTGAGTAATCGGAACTGAGGATGTCTGCAGACATGGCTCAGAGGGAGACGAGGACATGAAATCTACGTTCTTTCAATTCAGTAGAATCGCTGTTTGTATTATTGTTTCCGATGTATATATATATATATATATCGTATAAATATGTCTGGATGATGCGAATGTGAATGCGATATTCTGTTTGAACTGCCGTGCTGCAAAGACGGATCATAGTTCAGTTCTAAGCTTATGCAAAATGTTTCAAATATGCTGTTTCACTATGCTGCGCGTTAATTTTTCTTGCGCTCACAATGCAGTTTGTGCAAAACAATGCATGGTGATCTTTATTCGATCACAGGACTTGCCTGAATTACTAGACAATGTGCACGCAATCACTCGCTCTTCATTTGTAACATCTTGGAGATTTTCTGGCTGACGATGACTTTGCCTCCATAGTTCCACAAGGCATGGTTACCTGCATCTTTTTCTCTGCCAGCAATTTTCCAAAACTCGTTTTCATTGGTGATGCCATTTTGTTTTGCAATCTCCACGAAATCCGCAAATTTCAGCGTCCTTCTTCTCTTCAGCTGTCGCTGCTCCAAGGTTGGTTTTCCTCGTTTCGATGTGCACTGTTTATGCGACATTGCTTGATCCTGCCATTGCTGAACCACCTGACTCTTGGTCTGCCACATGTGCGGCCAAAATAAAGGGATCTTGTCTTCGGCCACCTCTTTTCGCTTTGTTTTGCAATCCAGAACATACTGTACAAGACTTTGCCAATTTTTCTCAGGATGGCTCATGGAACCTCGGCATCCCCTTTTTTGGGCAAGCAGTGTATTAATGTCGTCACTCGCAAAAGAAGTTTTCGTCTTGAAAATAACACGAAATTGAAATCCGTAATGGTTGAGTAGTGGCTCTTTGACCACAACGAGTTGCTCTAGAATGGAGCCGTGTCCAAGTTCCGACATAGCAGTTCGAAACATTTCACATATGTCGTTCCTCGAGAAATCTTCTGGAACATACTGACACTGATCCTTTCGTTCAGCTGCATTCTGCAAATAATCTTGTGGCGTTGTGAAGGTCCACATATGACAACATGCACGGTGACGAGAATTAGCAGAAGTCATCCGTGACAAATCACATGCAAAATGAACGTGCTGCCTTCGAGACGAAAAAACGACGGCGGGGAAATGTGTCGGAAATGTTCGTGATAAAGTGAGCGCATGAAGTTGCATGATTCAGGTTTAATTCAAGAACAAATCCACAACAATATATCAACAAAGCGTGACTCAAGGTTTGATGAATAGCAGAACACTAAGAAAGCTAAGAATTTCCAATTACATGCAAGCCAAATATTGCTTATGAACTTCTACTGTCGACGACCTCTTTTTCTTCTACGCCCCAGGTCGAACATACAGAGACAACTACATCTGATGCAGACGTATTGTCTCACCCACATTGACACGAGAAATTGTGTACATAACCCCGTTATTTGAAAAAAGCAAATGTATCATCCAGATGCGCTTGGAATATTCTGGCCTTTTTTTGGCCAATGCAATTATTCTGTTTGTTTTAATAGTCTCCTGGAGCAACCTTTTTTCTTGTTCTTTTTTTTCAGAAAAAGCTCGATCTTTTTCGTCTTTCAAAAGCTTGCATCTTTCGAACAGTTGCGTTGGACTCCACATCTGATCTCCAATCTTTATTGTCTCTGTTGATTCCTGGGCTGGTATGCTCAGCTTCCTTTTTTGATATTCTTCCATAAAAATTCGAGCACGAGTTTGTGAATCAATGCATCTATTGGGAACAGTTTCAGCAAGTTTGCTTGCTGCTGTACTGGAGAACTTAGCACTGTTCTGACGTTTGTCAATGTCGGCAATGAGTGCTTCAATCTGTTTTTCTTCGTCTTCAACAGCTTCTCTTTTCTGTCGCAGTGCCCGCAGCTGTTCCAGGCTCTGTCGTCTAATGTCATCTTGGCTCTGACAAGATTCCAATTTTCTTTTTTCCAGTGCTGAACCATTGTTCAAATTCTCCTTGGTTGATGACATGTTGTCGAGATGTTCCACAATGTCAGTCAGATTCTCAATGTCGAGGTCAATCACCTGCAACAATTCGGTCAACACTGTTGCTAGAGCTTTCCCAACCTGACTGAAGAGTGTGTCATCACAGCGATGTTGCACATTTCTCAAATCTTCTTCTGCGTTCCACTCTGGAGGCAGTACGTTCCCATTGTCGGACAGAAGTTTTTGCCAAATTGTTGTAACCTCCTTCATGGACTTGGATAAAACTGCCAACTGCTGTACATCCTCCAGTGTAAGCTGCTTCTTCAAGAGTTTCACCAAACCAATGAATGATCTGGCAGATTCTGGCGTGCCGCTTGGTAACTTAGATGTCATAAGATGTGGCATGGCGAATAGAGCAATGCTGCGTAATGCCAATTAAAACAGTCTGCTGCTTTCTAGTTGAAATGATAAAGGACGACTTCTTGAGCTCATTGATAACATAAAAGCGCATAGTTGCATCTTGTGTTAAGTACGCATTTCATGTCCTGAATCAAATAAAAGAAAAATTGCACAGAACATCTCCTTGAGCCGTACGAGGAAGAATCAAGAATTGGAGTCACTTTTCTCAATCTGATCAGTAAAACATTGAAATGAATTACAATCCGGTCTTTCTTTTTCTGCCCGAATGCTGAGAAAATACTTCTGAGAAGATGATCATCCCATGATCAAGCCCCCTAACTAATCCTTTTGAAACATTTCAAGCATATGCCGTCTCTTTGTGGTATCCTTCTGTCCTCATCGTTTCTGCTGTGCCATGGCCTCTCTGCGGGCCAAAGCTGCAGCCCTATTAGCTGCTATTCTTGCGTCCGTCTCTCTGCGACATTTTTCAAACAATTCAATTTCTTCAGGTCTGTACCATTTTCCGTTCATCCACCTTTTCTTTCCTGGAGATACTTCATATCTGGGTTGGACCTTGGCATGATAGTCGTTTTTCGGCTTTTTCATCTCGGGCGTGTCTCCTCGGAATAAATCACCTGGTTTGGGAGCTCCATCCACATAGTGCGAGCTGGAAGATTCTCGACATGTCGCCACAAGTTTGGCTTCATCACGTTCGCATTGTTTTTTGACCTCTCTGATCTCTTGCAGACGCATGATGTGCTGTTGTTTGAGTTTCTCCTGTTCAGCCTTCTCAGCATTTTCTTTCTCCTTCAGCGCCTCTGCTTCCCTAGCTTTTCTCGCTTCCTCCTCTTGGACCCAGTCCAAGAGTTCGAAGTCTCTCACATGCTTTGCTGCAACAATGCATTCCAGTGCAGTTTCGATGATCTCCCAATCGCAGGCAGCCAAAGTACCCACTTCGAACACTTCGACAAAGATGATTGCGAAGGCATTGCCCAAGCTACCAAATTTAGTTTGGTCCACATTCTTGCTGAATGATGCTCGAACTGAATTTCGTGGTTTTGTAGTGGCTCCAGTCTCTCTGGTGATCTCATTGGAGATGTTTTTCATTAACTTCACCAGTTCCTCCACGTCACCCAGTGATAATTGCAGCTCCAAGTTTTTGATTAGAGAGACCAAGCAACCGGCATCTGCTGGACTCATGTTTGTAGGTTCTACAAGCTCCAAGTTCTTGTTTTAAACGTCTTTCTACGAAGAAATGCATATTTTGCAAATATTATTGTTTGCTGCATGTCTGTTTGTTTTTGAAACAAAAAAGTGTGTTATGTCTCTTGTCTGCAACCAAATCACGGACGAACCGATCTTCGACTCTGCAGGCAAGAGAAATACGTTCCTACGAAACAATTGTATAATTCTAGAACGAGCGAATAATGGAAAACAAATAATGGAAAAGAGGATATTAAGCATAATCATTCAAATTTCAGGACCTGAAGCCAAAAGACACGTCGTACACGAGATAGCATATTTTTTCACAACCATTCAAATGTTACGAGATTAATGACACGCAGTGCAACGCTCAAGCTCTTTTTGCTATTCATGCAAGCGACGACTCAGTTCTGGTTTTGAAAAGCAAGAGAAAACATTTCTCTTCTCTGCGGACAAATCACGAACAATCCTCGATCATCGATTCTGCTGACAAGAGAAGTGCATCAATCATCCATTGGGAGTTGATGTGAGAAGACTTAAAGAGGTAACGCAAGACAAAGCTGACTACTCTTTGATAGCTGACTGGAGATTCTTTGATTGCCAGCACTCACTCATTCGATTGAGCACCGTCACTGGTTCTGTTCACATGTTCCTCACTATTCACTGTCTCATTGGGCTCGACATTCTCAGCCGATAAATCTTCAGCCGCATCTCCATTTTGATCCTGAGCAGAATTAGGGTCTTCACTTCGTTGGGTTTGACGTTCACGTAGAAGCCATAAAAGGTCCTCATCGTGCAAATTGTGAGCAGCTTTCATGAGACGTCTTTTCTTCTGCTGTTGCACCTTCACCGTTTTATTCATCTCTTTGAGATCTTGTTTTAGCTGTTGCTTTTTGGCTTTTAGTGCATCAAGGTCTTGGATTGCAATGACTTTGCGAGGACGGGCTCGTGGCTTCGCCGCTGCCGAACTAGCCATACAGAATGAGTCGAGAGATGCCTGCGAGGTCCAAAAGCAGCTATCAACTGTAAGCCAAATTTCTGTCATTTGATTTTGTTCCCCCGATTGCGTGGCGAATTGTAACCATGCCATGTTGCAATGCAAACACAAGGCAAGTATATGAACAGATTCATCACATGTCCGACAACATTTTTGCAACTTTTTGGTTACAATTTAAAAGCATTAGATCGCGTTCAGCTTTGCTGAATACTTTGTTGCAGAATCGAAGCATTTCCGTACGTATTCAAAATCTTCGTTAATTCGTAAAGCCGTTAAGTCGTTAAGTTTTGTTTTTTATTAGATGTATTCTATTTAGAAAAAAAAGACTTAATGCTTTATGAATTAATTAATGATATTAGGTAAAATATACCATTTTGAAACCTCGATTCAATCGATTTCAACTGGTTTCAGCTTTGCTGGTAACCAGAATAATGACTTAAATGGAATCGTCTTTCGACGAGGCCAGATTTCTTGCAATTGGGTTTCGGAAGGCAAAGCTGTAGGACTGTCTGTTAGACGAGTAACTCCAAGCTGTCGTAATTCATCACTTATGGACTTGGCTTGGCCTAACAGTCCCACGTTGTGAAACGCTGTTTTCCAATTCCTTCCTCGCCAAAACAACTTGTTTAGGCTGCTCAATACATTAAACCATTCTTTGGTTCGCAAGGTGCCATCGTTGTCTTGCCTCTCCATAAAGAGTTGATGTAAAACTGATTTGTACGCTTGTAAACAAGAAACATCCAATGGTTGTAACATGAAGGTTAACCTTGCAGGAACATATATCAGCCACAAATTCAGTCTGTTTGCAGCTGAAATCACCGATGCATCAATGTGACATGGAGCTACATCTAGCAAAATAATGATTTGATGATCTTTTGTACACGAAATGAGTGATTTTGCTATGTTCTCCAATATCACAACCATTTTCTGAGCCGTGTTCCATCCTGATATGTCACGAATAAATCTCAATCCCGGTGGGACATTATCTGGTATATCTTTCTCTCTAAAGGTTCGTTTGTTTAACAATACGAACTGTGGCAGTAAAGCCTGAATTTGTGGCAGGTGACTGATTGCAGCCACATGTGTTGCAGTGCCACGTTTCAAACTGCGATTGATAAAGCGAGCTGGAGGTCGACCCATATTTGTTTTTTTTGGTCACGTAGCCCTTCGATCGTAGTGCACATCGATGAATGGATGTCTCATCGATGTTGATGAGACAAATTTCTTTGCCATCATGACGTGCTTGCTCGCACAAATAATCGAACCATTGCCAGAAGGTTTGAACCTGAATGATGATTCAAAAACATGTTTGCTGCCAAATTACATTCAGTTTTTTGAGGCCCGAATTCGGCTTCAAAATATTACTATTTTTATGCTTCAAAGGTTTCAATGTAATGATTCTATTTATTTGAGCTAAAGAAAGAAATAAAAGAGGAACCTAAAAATGTACTATTTGTTCGAGCCTTTTCTTTGAGTTCTGATGGAGGCATGAATTCGCGTTCCATCATTTGACCGTGTCTGACTTGCCATCTCTTCTTAAATCTGCAGCACCATTTCCTCATCGTATTCACGACCCTGATGCCTCTTCCTCCAGACTTGTTTTCAAGTGGATAATCAACTACTACCGGATGACATTGGTCGTCACAACTCTCATGTTCATTTCTCTTCAGTTGGTCAAAGTAATATTGCACCAGCTGCAGAGACGATACAGTTCGTCCCTTCTCCATGTTCTCTTTCTCCAGCCACAGACAAGTTTGCATCTCTGTGATGAAGCGCCTGGCTTCTTGAAATATGCAAATATTTTGTTTGGAGAGTGGATGCAAGGCAATCTCTTCAAGAACGTTGAACGGAACATTCAAAAACCAGTCACGAATAGGAGAAAAACGACAATCGTCCTCAGCTTTCTCATCGTACCCAACTGATCTTTTGCCACGCTTTTTGAGTAGATACTGCATCACTGTTTCATCAGAGTAATTCGATTGCACATAGATTGACACAGCAACAAGGCGAGTTCTCTCCGTCGAATTCCATGAGCATTTTTGTCTTTTTGAAGCTCTGTAAAGCCTTTGTCGCATGTTGTTGATGATCTTCTCCAGATGTCGAATTTCCTACAGGGTAATAATACTATATATATATTATGTAAGAAGATATATAATCTCAATATTGTTTTTATACATATAAAAATGCATTAATTCATGAAGTCATTAACAGTAAAGTTGTTTTTTTTTAATCGTATATCTCTTTAGAAAAAAAAGGACTTAACGACTTAACGAATTAACGATGTACGTGGAATTGTGAAAGAAACGGACGAAAAAAAGTTAGTTCGTAGTTTTTCGAATAAGATACTTTATATTAACATTATATATCCTTGAATATATAGATAAATATTTATATATATATATATACATATGTGAGTTTACATTTGTTCTGCTGAACATGTGAGTAAACAAAAATGTCCAAGATGTTTTAAAAAAAAACATACTGATCACAAAAAAGAAGAATTCATGATAAAATGATAGCAAAAATGCTACTACTATTGGGTGACCAGAATAAATTACACGAATCAGAACCATTTTTGAAGCCAAAAACAGCTTCAAAACTCCTCCTTCTTGGAAGCTTGATCTTGAACGGACATGGCAGAAGTACTCTCAGAAGAATGAAACTCGAAAAGGCTGCAGTGAAAAAAACATATAAACATTTTAGACGAGACAAGTTGAGTATAATATCTATCTAGTTGCCATACATGATCAAAACAAGATCATGTAAACCAAAGACAACACTATTTCCAGACAATGCCGTATTTCATATACCACACAAATCGCAACAATCCAGGCGCATTTTTCTCGGAGAGATCACGATTGATTCGGTGAGACAATACGTCTTTGGGCTTTGTAGGCATTTTATGACCTCAATCGCGAGTATTCGAAGCTTTCTTTTGCTTCTTATTCTTATATTCCAGAGCGTCAGAGAGAGGAAGTGTCCACAGTACGATTTTGCAGGTTTTCATGAATCCTTTTCGATCTAAAAGTGGACTGAAACCTTTTTCTTCCTCCAATTCCGCGACGAAGTTCATCAGCTGTTGCATCCACAGTTTCAATTGTTCCTGACTGCTCAAAGATTGCTTGTCCTTGCACTTTGCAGCAACATTCTTTGATGCATCAGCAAGAAATGTCACTCGCAAAGGGAATTGCTTTGGCAAAATATTTTCTCTCTTGATATACAGGATGTCAAATTGGCTCACTTTGACGATCCCTGTCATTGTGACATCAGCTACGACCGGTGAACCTTTCTTCGATTTTGTTACCTCCGCTTTGGGTTTTCGATTGTCCTGTAAAGTGTCGAAATTGAACACCAGCCATCCTTCCTCAATCATGTGATCCCAGCTCAAAAAGCCGTCCACAGGCAAGCATTCGTTCAAGTCAAAGAAGGACATCACAACCCGATTCAGATAATCATTTGACTTGTTGAACTCGTGCTGCTGGTTCAGAGTAGTACAGCTCATGAAATTGCCCTGACCTTCGCTGTCCAACCACAAAAGCTCAATAAGCATCTGCAAGTTTTTCAATCTCCTCAGTTTCCGATCTACAGCCTTGAGTAACGGGTCTAAATCCTCTTTCACTTTCATATTGGCTGCCGAAATCTTGTTGTACAAATTGTAACCAAGATTGTACTGTTCCTGAAATGTGGAGAAACGATGTTTGCGAATTTGCTGGCTGCCACACAATGCCATGTCCATCATCTGATCGTCTGATAATATCTGCAGCTCCAGGGCATCAGAAATAATAGAAACGAAGTCAAATATCTCATTTAATTCCTTTTCTGAATCTTTCTCCGATTCTTTCTCCTCGGTTTCCCTCCCCGGATTCACATCCTGTGTTCCGCTTTTGCTTGGACGAGCTCTGTTTCCTCCGGGCGGGTTCCGAGCAAATGCCGGGCTAGCGGCCTTTGCCTTTGGCTCTGCAGTTTTTTTCTGCAATACCGGGCTCGACAGTTTCAGCTGCTTCAGCTGATTCCTCCGCTGATGATTTTCTTCATCCAGTCGACTGATATTTGCCAAGAGTCGGGGATTTAGAGGACAGAAAGGCTGTGAATGATTTCTCACCCATCGCATTGTGACGTTCCAACGTGCGTCTTGCTCGTTGACCAGATTCAAGGCGTCAATACGTCTAACTTCCTCTCGCATCAAGTGTTTCGAATTCGAAAACCACTCCAATTTTAGTTTCACACCGTCCCAAGTAGTCAAGTCGTCTGCACAAGCAAGAAGCTCTTTGATCTCCGGAAAACTTGGTACACCATGTTTGTAAGCTCTCTGAAACTTGCCGCCCATCACAAGAATTGTTCCCGGAGGCTGATACACAACAAACGCACGTTTGCCCTCGGTCTTCTCTTGTTTCTCTGGTGCTGCGCTGGAGATGATAACCAGCAAAGACCCCAGTCGGCAGGAGAAAGAAGTAATGGGATCTTTGTCCACATCATATCCTTCTTTAATGTCATCGTGAAAAGAGATTCCATGATTCTTGTTGTACGTGTAGCGGTTGATCAGCAAATGAAAACCTCAGCCGGACCAAAAGATTAAATTATAATGATGCCTTTGTCTTAAAAAATAAGAATAATAAGAAACATTATACATACATAAGCAAATAGACCCAAATTACTGTCGAGAAACTTCCAGATCGGCTATACCAAGAAGACGCAGTGTCTTGAAGGAAATGTTTTTCAAAGAACTGCTGTATGGCCAATCCCTGCATCGAATGTTGTGCAGCATAGGTAGTACGAACTCTTTCCTGCTTGTTCTCGCCTCCAAAGGAAAATATACATTGACACGATCCTCTGTTTATGGAGGCACTTTCATAATACACCACCCTGTTGTTGCTGATCTGCACAGTTTTCGCAGGATTGTGAGGGTTGACTTTTCTCTCTTCGTCCAGCTTCATGTCAAAAACTTGTTGGCCAAGCATCGGAATCTCGTTCAAGATGTCTGTCGGACTTGAGCTGCTCATCTGGAACAAACAAGAGTGTGTTGTAGACCCCTTTTCCAAATTCCGTGACAGATCATCAATCTGAGTGTAGTTACTTCCTCTGCCAATCATCTTGCAGAACTGCAGCACATCTTCTGCTGTATGAGCAATTTCAGGCCAAGCGAGAGGCATTGCCATTTCGAGAGAGGTTAGCAAACAAGCTAAAGCAAATGCTAATGAAATTGTTCAATAGATTTATGCACAAGCCACTAAACTCAATTAATCATAGCAAAGTCAGTTTACTACCCGATCACGAACGATCCCGATCACGGATCAACTGACAGTGCAGGAATCAGCAGTAGATGTCTGCATTGTTGTTTCTCATCGTTTCCCTTGTCGATTTTGACAATGTGACTAGCACAGCTTGACATAAAATGTAAACGGCAGGTGAATATGTAAATGGTGCTGTGACAACAAGTAAACATCATGACTGATAAAACAGCAGGGCTCTTTGTTTTGTCAGGCAGTCGTGTTCTAAAAACGCGAACAAAAGACAGCCACTATTTAGTAGTTGTCCAATGCCATACGGTTCTTGTGAGCCATTCAATTGTCATATGGAAATCCCCAAATTGCAATTTTTAGTACGGGTATAGTACTAAAGTATCCACCCAAAACCCTCCCAACTAATCACAAATACACCGGGGAAGGAATGGAATATACGCGGAAACAACCCTCGCGCATTACGCTCTATGTGTGGCAATATTTTTCATATTTCTTCAATTATATATCTCTTATATATAAACTCAAAACCAAAACCAAAAACCGAGAAACATGCAACAACATCACTGCCGTCTGACAACTGAAGCAACTGACATGTGTTTCGTTTGTTTTGCATTCCGAGCGCACTTTAAAATTTATTCTTTTTTGCTTCTTTAGATTATTTGTCGAGGTTGGTGTTTCCCATGACCTTTGTGTTTCTGATGTCTGCTTCACCTTCAAACCGGGTGATTTACCGAGCAGCATCCTATCCCGGGTCTGGGTGGGTGGGACACTTTTGGTCTCCAACCCATTTTGATCCACTACTTGTGACGGAACATAACATAAAATGAAGTTTCCATTCTTTCAATAATTGTTTTCCATCCCGGAAATTTCAAAAGAAGAAATTTCAGAAAAATAAGTTCTGAGAATTTTCTCAAAGTTGGTTCTTGATTCAAACCTTGAACCTTCAACCTTTCCATAAGTGGCCTCACAATACCGGTGAGCTTTTCCAACCCAATAAGGGTAAAGTAAATTTCACATTTGTGTTTGGTGTTTGTTTGAAGTCTGAGTTCCGCAAGAAAACTTCCGAGTTACTCTTCCACGCGCGGAAACCCAAAGACAACAACACCGGGACGCAACCAAAACCGTGTGCGCCACAAGACCGGGGTCAACCCAACAGAGGAAAGGAAAAACCCAAAACCACGCGAGCGCAAGCGCACAACCGCGTAAGAACAACCGAGTACTAACCAATACACTATCGCAACAAGTCGCGAGTGCGTACAGGTATAGTACTAAAGTATCCACCCAAAACCCTCCCAACTAATCACAAATACACCGGGGAAGGAATGGAATATACGCGGAAACAACCCTCGCGCATTACGCTCTATGTGTGGCAATATTTTTCATATTTCTTCAATTATATATCTCTTATATATAAACTCAAAACCAAAACCAAAAACCGAGAAACATGCAACAACATCACTGCCGTCTGACAACTGAAGCAACTGACATGTGTTTCGTTTGTTTTGCATTCCGAGCGCACTTTAAAATTTATTCTTTTTTGCTTCTTTAGATTATTTGTCGAGGTTGGTGTTTCCCATGACCTTTGTGTTTCTGATGTCTGCTTCACCTTCAAACCGGGTGATTTACCGAGCAGCATCCTATCCCATTTGCAAAACGAGGGATTCACCAAGGTTCTATTCGCCTCTTTTTGTTGGCTCTTTTCTGAACACCCTTCGGTGTAGAAACAGGACTCTTTCGCTTCCTCTCTTTTGCCAACTCCTCGTGAAACTCCTGTGCTTTTTTCAAAAGGCTGTCCAGCACCAACCATTTTGTATCTCCTCCGACCAACCTGACTCTAAGCTCCATGGGGAAATGGTCAAACTTTTCATTGGTCAAATCGTCCGCAAGTTGATTCTTCTCTCTCGGTACCCATTCTAAACAAAGTTCACAATCTCTAGTGCGCAACGTCTCTGAAAGTTCCATGATCAAGACTGTAAGTGGATACTTGGTGCTCATCCACTTGCTAACCGCATAAGCATTGGAGAGATTGTCTGTACTCCCCTTGATCCAGCACTTGCCACGTCCACCTTTGGATAGACCCCTCGCCCACAACCTCGCAGCTATGAGCGTTGCTAACATCTCAAGTGCAGCAATGACCCGCTTTGGATCGCCACGGATGAACAACCAAGGTGCCCATTCGGTCTTGACCTCTTCAGAGAACCACTCCGCTATACTACCATCCTTGGCCTGAAGAAAACCTCCAATCCAAGCTCCACATTCTGTCGCCTTTGCATCTGTATAGAAGATAACATCATCTCCTTCACCATCTCTAAGGGGCGGTGGCTCCTGTAAACTGCCACCATCTCGCGTTCTGTCAGCCAAAAACCAAAGAATAGTCCTCAGCATAGTGGGAATACGCAACAAACCAGTTTTGTTCCTTATTGCCGCCGTCCAAGAATAAAGAGGTCCCAGGAAAGGTCGCTCCCAAGTCAAAGCATTTGCTGCGAATCCCAGTCTCCCCAAACCTTGCTCCATCTCCTTCGCTGTAACCTTGCCCACAGTGGCTAGCTTGCGAGTCCAACTTTCCATCCATGCCGCCCTCTTTGGAGAAAGTCCCAATTTCATGGTTGTGTACTCGGTGAAAAGTCCAATCCACTCGACCTTCAGTCCACCGCGTTGCTTCGACCATTTGAAAGGGAAACCAAGTGTTGACAAGAATAAGAAAGAAAGAGCAATGCCACGCCTGCCACCAACTCCAGCCCCCAACGATTCCAAGTCGTCCGCAAAGATCAGCATCTCAATCGGCATCTCGGGTCCCAAGAGTTCATGCACCAGTCTGATGCCTGAACCAGCTAGTCTGCCCCACCAGTAACTCGCTGAGGCAACCCCAAAAGTTCCAACTTTGTTCACAAAGATGAAGTTGTCAGAGTGCTTGACCCGACATGCTAATAGACCGTGCTCCGCCGGATCATGAAGGAATCTCCTGTGAGCTTTGCTGATATCACCAACCAAGCTGAAAACAACGTCACCCCGCTTCTTGTAGTAGGATAACAGATAACGTTTTTCTCTAGCTCCAGGGCTTCGTTGTTTGTCTCTGCACTTGATCCTATTGTTGATTTTCGTGCCATGTGTAGCATCATGTATGATCCTCCGCTTGTTGCCATGTGATTCTTCCACAAGCACTGCCAAAGAAGAGATTGCAATTTTGTCGCCATAACGTTGTTTGGCCTGCTCTAGCGTCAGTTTCTCCATCAAGCCTTCTCTGCACTCCTCCTCGAAATGCTGTCTCACAAATTCCTCGTGGTCCCCCACTGACTCGTAGTTGTCTCGCCATACTTCTGCTTTCATGTATGGATCGTCCTCAAGTTTCCAGGATGTTTGCTCCTCATACATGTGAGGCGTTCTCGGTAAGGGTCTAAGCACCCCCACCGGAAAACCTTTCTCCCCTTCCAATAAAAACTTGTGGTCAGGATCTCCCGCTTTGTCCAAAAGAGCTTCCATCAGTCTAAGGCGGAAGGGTTGTCCATGAGCCACATCTGTGAGGCCCTGTTCACTGACCCCTTCCCTCAACAAGCTCTCCTTCCAAAGCTCCACCAAACGCTGTTCCAACACTTTGTCTTTCATGAGGTCACAACCGGCCTCCCCCTTTGCCGCCATCTCGAAACACATTCGATCCAGCTTCTGTAGCCCTCCGCAACTTTGCAAAACAAGCTCCACTGTCGCCTTCCGCAAGTTGTTCCAAAAGGGTGTATTGTTCCAAACGCGTTTCTCTATGTCCCATCTACCAGGTGAAGCCAAACCACATCCATCATGGAACATCCGTGACTTTCCAAGTGTTTCACATTTTCTAGCTTCCCCTTCTCCTCCAGAAACTTTCCAACCTTCTGCACATGTTGTGGAATATTCCTCAACAACTTGAGGTGATGGCTGTTGTTGCACTCCATTTGCAGTGTCCTCCTCCTTTCCGAAGGCATTAATGGAGTGCTTTTTGAGCCAGTATTTGAGCAATTGACTGGCTACCCATCTGCAAAATTGACTGGGCCATTGTTCTGTACCAGCTGTTGTAAACTTGCCATTGCTGTGACCTATCAACGCCATTTGAGAACTGCGTCGCTGTAATGGTCCCGTATAGAATCCCTGATCGTCAAAACAAGGCTTCCCAAAAACGAATGCTTCCAAGTCAGTAGAAACATTTTTCAAGAGTAGCCTTGTAGGCTTGAGATATTCCGTTCCAAAGTCTTGTTGATAGAAAGCGCAAGTCTCAAAGTCTCCAGAATCTAGGAGTTCACTAAACTCAGGCCACTGCCACATGCTAGCTGGGCGCTGTCCCAGAAA